GAAAACTTTGAATCAATCTGACTGGATGATCTGGTTGAACTGTAAAGTGACCTGAGATGACTTCGTGTAGAGTTTGAATTTTAGATTTATGGGAGAAGAAAAGACGTTAATAGATCTCTGTGTGCTCCTGTGTAGTCAACAGGCCTGTCTGCAGAGGAAGGCGCCGCGCTGCATGCGGAGGTTCAGCTGCTCCTGCAGGCGGAGCTGCAGAAAGGAGAGCAGCGGAGGAGAGAGGAGCAGAGGGTGGAGGCTCTGCTGGCGTGTGCTCGCACACAGCTGGAGCTGCTGCAAGGTGACGCCCCCACCCACCCACCGGCTCTAAATAATCCAACTATCTATGATCAGTGCTGCAAAGATCATTAATCAGCAACTCTGTCATCCCTGAAGATGCCCCGCCCCTCTCTGATGTCACGGCAAAGCAGGCGGAGTCCTTCCTGAGCCCTTCGGCCTCCATCGCCGCTCGGGCGAGGGACGCCCACAACGCGGCGCTGCAGGCGAGCCGGCTGCCCTGGTGGAGGAACCTGGGAGAGACGCCTACAGGGGAGGAAACAGGCCACGCCCACCTCCAGGAGCTGGAGGCGGAGTTTGGGGGCCTGTTTATCGGAGGAGCAGCGACGGTTGAAGGAGGCCCTGAGGTGGAGCTTTAACCAGGGCTGATCCGAGGGACCTGATTGGCTACTGTAGGATCCTCTCTGTGATTGGATGATTCTGATGAAGCAGGAAACTGTTTCTAATTCTGTTTAGAAAATAATCCTAATTATGAATCTCTGATTTTAATGAGATCTTTTGTATTAAATTATGTAAAAACAGATGAAAGCGCCCCCTAGTGTCTTTGTGTCTAACTTACACCTTTTGGCACCAATAAATGTCAAACAACTCTGCACCTGTTTGAATGAAGGGATTTCCTGCTGGAAAATATCTGCAGAGGCTCCTGTTAGCCAGCAGAGGGCCCTCCTCCTGCACCGCAGCATCAGGACCCAGAGGAGGAGGAGGAGGAGGAGGAGCGGCTCCTCTTCATCCCAGTTTAATGTGATGCTCTGCCAGTAAGCAGCATCCAGATGGATGCAGTTGGAGGCGGAGCTGAAAGCAGAGCGGCGTATCGATTATCGATCAGAGCTGCAGGGCAGCAGATGTTACATAAGCAGCTGTTGGAGGGAAACAGCAGCAGCAGGAGGAGCAGGAGGAGGAGAGCAGCGCTGCAGAGCAGCAGGTAGGAGCTGATTATCATGCCTTTACTGCTGGAAAGTTCTCCGTTAGAAGCAGATGGTGTCTTTTCTATTAATGCAGCTTTATTTAAATTATGCAAAAATAAAACAAAGTCTGCTACGGAAGAGGATTAAAGCCACTGGAAAAAAAAAAAAAGTTAACAGATTTTTATGTTATTTCAACTTAATATCGGAAAAAAGTCAAAAATCTGACTTTATTCTCAGAATTCTTACTTTTTTTCTCAGAATTTGACTTTAATCTCAAGAATTTTGATTTTTAATGTTACGGAAGGGGATAAGTAGCCTGACGTAGTCCGACTCAATTCTAGTCAGAATGAGTCTGATGCTGCTCCATAGAGCAGTGATTATGGGGCGTGTTTCCAACGAACCAGGAAAAAAAATGCCTCTGCACTCAATTGGATAGACCTACAACCAATAAGAGCAACGGAGTGCGTGACGTATGTTAAGCCACGCATAGTTGTTGTCATCGAAAATCAAAGCATGC